AAGCTTCTCTTATGTCATCTATTCCCAATGCTGGCAACAGAGAAGCAGCTGCAGTAGCAGCTGCTGTTCGTGCAGTTGGAGGTGATTCAGTTTTTGATGATTCTTTTGCTCGTGAGAGAGTTTCAAGCATTGCACGCCGCATACGTGCAGGCCAGTTATCTCGGCGAGCACTCCAGGTTATCATTTTTTCAATAGTTCTAGTTTATGGGGGTCTTTAATATGAATATGTACTCTCTGTATTACGTTCTCCTATCAGTACTCTTTCATTGTAAGTTCATCATGTTGCCAGTGAACCAACTAGTTGACAATTAGTTGATAAGTGGACATATCAATTACTCCCTCCGTCCCCGAGTTTATGTCCACTTCCAATTTGGCACAAAAACCAATATAGAATATCAAAAGACACAAATACCCTTACTCGTCTCGCTCACCAAGTCACAGACCCAATTGAACCCCCCCACCCCCCATCCAGTTCCTTCTTGCGTAAATCCAGCCTCCTGCCCCCCACTCAAATTTCATCCACTCATCTCCAACAACCTCCATCATCCAGCACTAGCTCTCTACCCACTATTCACCGGCAAACCCACGAAGAAGACGTCCAAGATCTAGATCTTGAGAAGAGATCTAATATTCGAAGATATTCGGATGTGAAAATATCTAATCGTCATCCATCTCTAGCGGGCATCTGAGAGGATGCGCATGCGCAGCTCCGTCTCGCCATCGAAGAAGACATCCATCCATCCATCTGCAACAATTGACTTGGAAGATGTGAGAGAGATGAAGGGGATCGAAGATGATAGAGGAATATGAAGCAAATTGGAGATGATAGAGGAGGATGAAGAGGAGTCAGAGATAAAGCTTTGAGGAATCGGAGAAGAAGATAAAGCCTAAAGGGGAAAATGAAGGTGATGATAGATGAGAGAGGAAGAGGAAGGGGAATTAGAGAGGAAGAAGAAGAGAATCAGGGACGATGAAGGGCTGAAGGAGAGTATAATTAAATGGATCTTCCAAAGAGTTAGAGATGTGAGGGTATAATTGACCTTTTATTTAATTTTCCTTTCCATATATGGAAAGTGGACAAATACTTAGGGACAACCCAAAATGGAATACTGGACAAATACTGAGGGACGGAGGGAGTACTCCATATCGTATTCTTGTATTTCAAAAATTCAAATATCCAAGTATTGTGTCCCATAATAGTAGTCTAGTTTTGGGTTACGATACTTGAGTGTAGTTATTTTAAATTCAATTTATGTAAATATTGGTTTAAATTAAATAATAAAACAAGATGTGAATTGACCATGTTATTGTAACAAATGATTAATGAAAATAGGTAGGAAATAGGGAAAGAAGATATGGTTTGGTCTTGTGAAGAGTGAACATACAATTCTTATGCGATGGAGGGAGTATTAAATAAAACCAAGAAGCCACATGTTCGTTACATGTTCCAGTCCCATATTTATGAAGCCACATCTTTAGTTCTTGGCATGCTCTCTTCTGCATATTGATTTGATATGTTAAATTTATCTTCTTATTTTCATTTTTGTTGCATACTGGACTTAGTGGCGCTGTATGTATTCTTGATGATGAGCCTACTAGCAGCGGCAGACATTGTGGACCCGTGGATCTCAGTGTTTGTTGTAGTAATAGAGTTAGCGTTTCTATTGCTGGGAGTTTCTTGTTGCTGGGTCTGAGCAAGGCATTGAAGCTGGACAAGTTGGACTTAGATTAATTACCAAGGGCGATAGACAAACTACAGTCTCAAAGGAGCGGAGTGTAGGTGCGAGCAACATTGCTGATGGAAGGTGTGTTTTCTTTTACTTGTAGGGTTGCTTCTTGAACGCCATGTCAGTACTTATAGCTTGCTGCTGGTAACACCAAATCTCTCAAGTTTTTTATGAATATATCGGTGTGTTGGATTGCTCCTATACTCTTATCTTGGCTAGGAGTTGAATTCTTATTTTCCTGATCCGAAGATAAATTACTTTGCAGGTGGCATATAGTTACATTGCCTGTAGATGCTGATTTAGGTGAAGTATCTTGGTATCTAGATGGTAATTTTGATGGCTATCAGACAGGGCTACCACTGCATAATGGTAGTTGCGTATGGTAGCAAGGAACAGAGGTCTGGGTGGGTATACAACCACCTATTGATCTTGACGCATTTGGGAGGTCGGATAGTGAAGCAGCTGATCCAAGATGCAGATAATGGATGTATTTCTTTGGGGAAGGTGCTTAACTGAAGATGAGATTGCCACTCTTCCTGGTGCAATTGTTACTGCAGAGTATAATATGATCAATCTATTAGACGATAATTTTCAATGGACAGATTCTCCAACTAGGGTCAGTGTTCTTTGTCCGAAAATTGTATATTGCGTATAGTGCAATTTCTTCCACATGCCCATTTTTCAATTTTTGCAAATAAAACGCCTACACATTCATTTCTGTTTGTCATTGATCTATTTGGATCTCTTATGTTCTCTCATTTAGGTCGATGACTGGGAGAGCGACCCTGCAGATGTTGACCTTTATGACAGAGATGATGTGGATTGGGACGGACAGTATTCAAGTGGGAGGAGAAGGAGATCTCAACGGGATGGTGTTGTATTGGATGTTGATTCGTTTACGAGAAGGTTGAGGAAACCATCATTGGAGACCCAGGAATAAATGAATCAACGCATGCGCTCAGTTGAAATGGCTGTGAAGGAGGCTCTATTGGCAAGAGGAGAATCCCAATTCACAGATCAAGAATTCCCCCCCTGGTGACCGCTCATTATTTGTTGATCCAGATAACCCTCCTTCAAAACTGCAGGTGAGTTGCACTGGCAACAGTTTGGAATGAATTTTTTGGGGCATGATTTCCATTTTCTGGAGCATGGCATATATGTACAAACCTACTTTGGCAGAACTCACAATAAATTTTGTTTGAAGGTTGTTGCTGCATGGATGAGGCCCATTGAAATAGTTGAAGAGAATCAGCTTGTTTCTGGTCCGTGCCTGTTTTCTAGAGCAGCAAATTCTTCAGATGTTTGCCAGGTTTTGCCAACAAAATAAACTAATTATGCTGTATTGCTATATAAAACTTGTGATCTTATCTATTTCCGAAGTCTTTCTTTGGACTTTCCCCTACAATTTCCTTTCCATGGAGACAAATCACTTGTGTGTTTGTGTGTGTATATTACCATATTAATGTTGAGACTAAAACATTTCAGGGACGACTGGGTGATATTGTTGGTTTCTGAGTGCAGTTGCTGTTTTAACTGAGGTTTCACGAATATCGTAAGTTATAATTACACCTGAATACAATGAGGAAGGAATATACACAGTTCGTTTCTGTATCCAGGTGAGCCATCATTCATATATGTAAAATTATTAAGAGAAGTAAAGATCTAGCTTCCTTGGAGACTAGGACCTTTCCAAACATATGAAATCACTGGGGTGACATCATCGTAATGGCATCACCTGATATAATTATGGAATGCAAGTGAATAAACATATACATATTTCACTTGGTGTTTCTCTGGTGATTTTCACTATTTTCTGGCCTAATTTTGGGTCAATTTTTCCATTTTACTGTATGGCATTTGAAGAACTCTTGTTTGATGACTTTTTTTTTACTTGCACACTTTTGGCTTTGTCAATTCAGGGGGAATGGGTTCCTGTTATTATTGATGATTGGATTCCCTGTGAGTCACCTGGTAAACCTGCATTTGCCACCAGCAGAAAGAAAAAATGAGTTGTGGGTCTCTATCTTGGAAAAAGCTTATGCTAAGCTTCATGGTTCGTATGAGGCATTGGAAGGTGGAGTTGTCCAAGATGCTATTGTTGATGTCACTGGGGGCGCGGGTGAGGAAATTGATATGAGAAATACTGAAGCACAGATCGATCTTGCTAGTGGAAGGTTATGGTCTCAAGTGTTACGGTTCAATCAAGAAGGTTTTCTACTTGGTGCTGGTAGTGCTTCAGGTTCAGATGTGCATATTTCTTCGAGTGGTATTGTTCAAGGCCATGCCTACTCAATATTGCAGGTATATCAAATACTCCCTCCATCCCGTGAATTCGTCTAGTTTGACTTTTTTGAGTCAAATTTGACAAACTATGGGCATCAATTAAATAAAAATAGTAATGTATTTTTGTATAAAATTATAACATTAGATTTATCTTGTATAGAACTTTTAAAATTTTAATTTATTGGATTAAATGCAATACACTATTTGTGAAGTAAATTGGCTCTCTAAATTGTGTGTGCTTCTTGCAATTGTGTAGTAGCAGTTGTTCAATGCAACTTTCGACGCTCATCATGGGTCTTCTGGAAACAGCCGCTCTATGTTTTAAACATTGTTTTAAACATAGGGGTCAGACTGCGTACATCCGACCCCCCCATCCCGCAATGGGCGGGAGCCGTTGAGGCATTGGGGGTAATGTTGTTGTTTTTGTGTATTAAATGCGATGCAATTTAAGAATAATTGATAATTAAAGTTCATCCAGTTTGACTCATAAAAGTCAAACTAGACGAATCCACTAGGAAGGATGAGTATAATTTTTAGGTAACACATACCTACATACATATGTTGTTATTCGTATGCATGAAGATATAATAACGTCCTTTGTCCCAAAATTAACTTCACCCTTTACTTTTCCGTTCCTCCCAAGATAATCTTTACACTTCTTTCATTTCCTTTTAAGGCAATGAATATGCTGCTCACAATGGTTTTCTCTCTTCTAAACAAATTCCAACCACACTTTACTTTTA